TAAGGCACTTTTTGCCTTTCTTGTGAATTTTATTTCTAGGCATTTTGTAGTTTGGGTTTTAACTAAAAATGGTAGTTCCTCCTTCCTCACATTTAAATTTCTATATATTAAAAGTAAGACTACTTTTGTATTTTAATTTTGTATCCAGTCACCTTATTCAATGATTTTGATAATAATACCCTAACACAGAGACCTAACAATGGGCTAGACATTTTTCTAAAGATATAATGTGTATTAGCTCATTTAACCCTTACAATATCTATATAAGGTAGATAATATTATATCCATCCTAGAGATGAGGAAACAGACTTAAAAGTAGAATTTCTTAGTCTTCCTAGGAAAATAATCTAATCTGCAAATGTAAATTTTACTATTTAACTATTGATAGTTACTGTTTTATTTTATTATTGTATTAGCTAAAATCTATAAAGTAATGTTGAATAACAGAAGAAATAATAGGCACTGTTGTCTTATTCATGATATTAAAAGAACTGTTATAACAGAAATAATAGATAAGCCCAAATGTACACTGGTATTTTGATAGAGTTATCTGTTTGCAAATAATGATATAATAGGAGTGCAGAAGAAAAAAATAGAGATTTATATGCGCAAGCACCTTCCATTTGTAAAAGGACGTTTCATCATTAAAAAAGTCCTTGCTCAATCCCACAGCCCTGTTAGTATTTCTTCCCTCTGTAAGTAATAGAATGCTCATCCATTTACACCACAAGAAATCCAAAGGAAAGTGATCTCAGGTGATTCGGCAGCTCACTCATGTCATCAAGGATGCAGGATCTGTCTGTAATTTCTGCTCAACTGTTCTTGGTGTTTTGACTCTTCTCAAGCTTGTAACCTCAGGATCATGAGATGCTAGCCAAAGCTCCAGAGCTGGTAAGAGATTTTAACACAGGATTACCCCCTCCATTGTTTTAGGGAGGAAAAGTCAGGGTGCTGAATTATGTGTCATGGATGACTTAGGCCCTACAGGAGCTTCTGCAGCAACAAAGATGCCACTGTGGGATTCTCCAGGTTACTGCCCCTGGACACTAGTTACAGACACTGAGGTTCAGGGACTGGGCCCAGATGGTAAAGAACAGGTTTTGGTTATGGTAAGGAGGCAAGGGAAGGAAATCGTGCCATTTGTAACAACATGGCTGAGCCTGAAGGAACCTATGCTAAGTGAAATAAGCCAGACACAGAAAGATACTGTATGATCTCATTTATACATGGAACCTAAAAAAGCTGAACTCATATAACCAGAGAGTAGAATGGTGGTTTCCAGGAGCTGGGGGGCAGGGGAAATGGGGAAATTTGGTCAAAGGACACAAACTTTCAGTTATAAGATGAATAGGTTCTTGTGATCTGATGTATAACAAGTTGAGTACAGTTAGTAATACTATACTGTATACTTTAAATTTGCTAGGAGTAGATCTTAAATGTTCTCACCATAACTCAAAAAATACACTGTCATCACTTATGCAACCTAAATGCAAATTTTGTCAATCATACTTCAATACAG